GAGTTGCTCAGTTGCATTTACTGAGATTAGGAATACTGGTTGAGCAGTACTTGTATAAACATCCTTCCATCCCCACAGCTGGGGTTGTGGGGAGGAGGTGGATGGACAGAGAATGAGTTTAATTTTAGGTCCTTGAAATTGGAACCCCTGAGAGACGTCCAGATTGAAATGTTGAATAGGAAGCTAGATATAAGGAGGTATGTGGAGACCTCAAAAGAAAGGTCTAATAATTGAGAGTCACCACCATTTAGATGAAATTTGAAGCCATGAGAGGGAATGAGCTCATCTGGGGAGAGACTGTCGAATGCCAAGAGGAACTAGGGCTGCCTCTGGAAAAGCTCAACATTTAAAGATTTGGTAAGGGAGATAGGACAGCTCTTCCCTTCCAACAACAACACTAAGAGCAAAAACAGGAGTGGCTCAAAGATAGGAAATCCAGGAAATTATGATGCCAAGTATATTAGTCTGTTCTTTCTATAAAGAAATACCTGGCCGGGCGCGGTGGCTCAAGCCTGTAATCCCAGCACTTTGGGAGGCCGAGGCAGGTGGATCACAAGGTCAAGAGATGGAGACCATCCTGGTCAACATGGTGAAACCCCGTCTCTACTAAAACTACAAAAAAATTAGCTGGGCATGGTGGCGCGTGTCTGTAGTCCCAGCTACTCAGGAGGCTGAGGCAGGAGAATTGCCTGAACCCAGGAGGCGGAGGTTGCGGTGAGCCGAGATCGTGCCATTGCACTCCAGCCTGGGTAACAAGAGCGAAACTCCGTCTCAAAAAAAAAAAAGAAATACCTGAAACTGGGTAATTTATAAAGAAAGGGGTTTAATTGGCTCACATTTCCTCAGGCTATAAGGAAGCATGGCTGGAGAGGCCTCACGAAACTTACAATCATGGGAGAAGGTGAAGTGGAAGCAGACATGTCTTACATGGCAGGAACACGAGGAAGAAGTGGGGAGGGGGGGTGCCACAGACTTTTCGACAATCAGATCTCGTGAAAACTCACTCACCGTCATAAGATCAGCAAGGAGAAAATTTGTCCCATGGTATAATCGCCTCCCACCAGGCCCCACCTCCAACACTGGGGATTATAATTTAATATGGTTTGGCTCTGTGTCCCCTCCCAAATCTCATCTTAAATTATAATCCCCATGTGTTGAGGGAGGGACCTGATGGGAGGTGATTGGGTCATGGGGGGCAGTTCCCCCATGCTGCTCTCTTGATAATGAGTGAGTTCTCATGAGATATGATGGTTTAATTTTTTTTGTCAGTTCCCCCACCCCCACTGCTGCCTTTGAAGAAGGTGCTTCCTTCTCCTTTGCCTTCCATCCACGACTGTAGTTTCCTGAGGCCTCCCCAGCCATCTGGAACTGTGAGTCAACTAAACCTCTTTAATTTATAAATTACCCAGTCTTTCTTAGGCAGTTCTTTATAGCAGTGTGAGAGTGGACTAATATACAATTTGAAATGATATTTGGATGAGAACACAAATCAAACCATATCACCAAGGGATGATAGTTTTTAAACATGAAAATATCTGATGAGAAATCAGTAAGACATAGACTGAAAACTGTCCATCACATTTAGCAACAGCAGCTTTTGACCTCCAGAGGATTGAATGCTGTGAATTTGCCCACACAATATCAAGAAGCTTTACTTGGCAAGCAGACCCTTGAATTTTGTTGGAATTTATGAGCTACTCTGTTTGGTTTAGTTGTGATAACACTACAAGTCAGGTCCATTAAGACCAAGTGTTCTGACTTGTCAACCAATACTACATGAGAGGGTAGAGACTCTTGGGCTAAATCCTGACTCACCACTGGTGGCAATCAGCAAGAGAGTTGTCCTATTAGCAGTTTTCTACCTGTGGCTCTTCTTGATCTGGAGTATTCTTTCTGACGCTTAGGAGCACTTACAGTGCAAGCATATACACCCAGATACCAGTTTTTTTTTTTTGAGACAGAGTCTCACTCTTGTTACCCAGGCTGGAGTGCAATGGCGCGATCTTGGCTCACCGCAACCTCCGTCTCCTGGGTTCAGGCAATTCTCCTGCCTCAGCCTCCTGAGTAGCTGGGATTACAGGCATGTGCTGCCATGCCCAGCTGATTTTTTGTATTTTTAGTAGAGACGGGGTTTCACCATGTTGACCAGGATAGTCTCGATCTCTTGACCTCGTGATCCACCCGCCTCGGCCTCCTAAAGTGCTGGGATTACAGGCTTTTGAGCCACCGCGCCCGGCCCAGATACCAGTTTTAAGCCATAACAAAAATATATTGAGTCAGCCCAAAGGCTCCACCCACAATAGTTTTCATTTTAGTTTTTCTGTTTCACTGTGAGCTTTGCCCAACCCTATCACTTGTTTTCAGACATTTTCTTTTTTCTGCAGGAGCACTAATCAAGGATTTTAACACATGCATATCAGGGGTTGTAACAGCTACCAGGAGATATGTTATTTTGCAGTTAGAAGCTTAGATAAGTACAGAGAAGGGAGTTAGCTTAGGCTGTGTGGCTAGAGTGGTGGTGGTGGTAGTGGTCGTGGTCGTGGAGGGGCCTCATTTTTTTTGATTCCGTGCTCCATGGTCTGCACCACTTCATCCTCTATATACCTCCTAGAACCTAGAGAGTGAGTGCCTGGGCTTGGGAGCACCTTTCTTTTTGCCTTCACACATTCTGTCATGTCTCTGCCATGCAGCTATTAGTGCTTTTGGTTACTTTTTAAGAGGAATTAAAAATGGATCTTAATGATTGGAGACATTTTTGTGTTTCAAAATTGACCACTAAGTAAATGAAGGGACTAGCCACAGACTGATAAAACATTTATGTATGTATATGTGTGTGTGTGTGTGTGTGTGTGTGTGTGTATATATATATATCTGGTAAAGCAGTTTTTATTAGTCTGTACTCTGCAGAGAGACAAAACCAATAGGATATGTATAGATATATAAGTGGGGATTTATTATAGGAATTGGCTCATATGACCATGGAGGCTGAAAATCTCGTGATATGCCTGGTGTAATTCAATCCTAATGTGAAGGCCAAGGGAGCCCATGACTGAGCCAAAGGCCTGAGGAGAGAGGGATAGGTGAAGAATTCAAAGACAGAGAACCAACAGCTCCTGCTAGCCAAGGAGAGGAGAATGTAGATTTCCCAGTTTGAGGAGAAGATGGAATTCACCCTTCCTCCTTTTCATTGTATTCCGTCCTCAATTGACTGGGCGATGCTCACCACACTGTAGAGAGCATTCTGCATTCCTAATCCTACTGGTTCAAGTACTAATCTCTCTGGTGACGCCATCACAGATATACCCAGAAATCCTGTTTTACCAGCTCTCTAAGGCCACTTAATCCAGTCAGGTTGACACATAAAATTAACCGTCACAGACTTGTATCCAGAATGTATATAGAATTCTGACAACTCAGTGATAAAATGGAAACAACTCAATTAATAAATGAGTAAAAGATTTGATTAGTCATTTCACCAAAGAAGATATGCAGATGACCAGTAAGCACATGAAAAGATCCTCAACAACAAACATTAAAATTATTATTTTACACTAACTAGAATGGTCAGAATAAAGATACATACAAGAGCAAGTATTGACAAGGCTGTGGAGATTCATTTATACATTGCTGATTGGAACATATAATGGTATAGCCACCTTGGAAAACAATTTGGCAGTTTCTCAAAAAATTAAAGATAAAATCAATATACAACCTAGCAATTCTACTCCTAGAAATCTACCCAAAAGAAATGAAAACATATTTTCATATAAAGATATATACACGAATGTTCATGGTAGCATTATTTATAATAGCAAAAACTGTTAATTTAAATGTCCATCAACTAAACAAAATGTGCTATATTTTATACACAGTGGGATACTAGTCAGCAATAAAAAGGAATGAACATTGGATACATGCTACTATATTGATAAACCTCAAAGACATTATGTTTAGTGAAATAAACCTGACCCAAAAGACTACATAATATATGATTCCATTGATCTGAAGTGTCTAGAAAAGGTGGGCTTACTAGAGACACAGAGTAGATTGCTAGTCCCTGTAAGTGGGGCTGGGAATGAAGATTATCTGTAAATAGGCACAAGGCAAATTTTTGTGGTGATGAAAATGTTCTACACTTGATTTTAGCCAAAAGGCCGAGAAGCAATGATGAAAATGTTCTAAAGTGAATTGTGATAATTGCACAACTCAAAACTTTTTAAAATTACCGAATTATGCAAATTGGATTAATTTTATGGCATGTAAATTATACTTCAGAGAACCTTTTACAAAATAATTACCTTGTTGTTTGTGGTAAAAAGAACTGTGACAGCATATTTCTCTGAGATTCTAGGCTTTGAATGTAATTAATTAATGTAATTAATTCTGCTATATATTTCCTGTGGCTCTTTGTATTGATCAGTTCTATTCACTGATGTTTACATTTCATTAGGAGGCCACAGGAAAATTTGTCTTCTGTTGAGCTATATTAAAAAATGTCTCTTTATTTAACCCATGAACAGACACCTAAAGAGTTTAGAATCTCCCTTCTCTTTATTACAGTGTATGCAAATATAATATTTAAATTTATAACGTAAAAGTGTGTTCTAAGATAACTGTTACAATTAATAAAGACATGTCGATAGAATTTTATATGCACTTCCCAGCTACTATAATTTCTTCTTTTTATATCAGTGAAGCAGTGAATTATTAATTATACTGTTATTAATCAACTTTTCTCAAACCTGTACATTATAATGGCACTGTAATGACAGCTTATCTGAATGAATAGAACCTGTATAATAGATGTGACTAGTCTAAATCATTTGTTCAACCATGAATTGTAGATTGGAACCTCTCTAGTATTTATTAATCTAATGTGAATAGAGCTTTTCAGAATTATAGATTTTATTATGAAAGAATAAGCACAGATAATTCATGATTTATTACTGCGATATAATTAATCCTAAGATGGAGTCCACATTGAATTCTTTTTCTTGCAGACGTATTTCATTAGCTAGTCCACGACAACTTTTTAAAGCTTCTAATATGACCCAGCGATGGCAACACAGAGAGATTTCTAATTTTGAGTACTTGATGTTTCTCAACACGATAGCAGGTAAACTAACTCTATACATTAATTTGCTTCAAACAATAAACTATTAATTTCAATGAATATTTACATGATTCTAGAGCATGGGGATATAGATTCAGTAAAAGAAATCCAGAGTACTGTGCTGATTAAAAGGACACGGAGAAAGGGAAACTATATTTACCCAGTTGTTGGAAGTAAAGAGAAAATAAGGTTTCAGTGGTTGTATAAGGATGGATACTATTTGACTAGCAGAGGAGATGGTTGGCATGTTAGAAGTCATTCTTTGTAAGATGGAAAGCATAAGCAAACATACAAAGAAGGGAAAATATAAAGTATACCTAGAGATCAATGACTAGTATAGTTTGTATATCTATGTATATACTGTATGTTTGTGTGTGCATGAAGTATACATTCATAAAGATATAATGTGAAAAAACAAAAATATTAGTGTAAAGACATATTGTGTAAGATTTTCTTGTCATTTTGAGGAGTTGGCAGTCAATTCATCGGAAAACTATTGAAACTTTTTGAGCACCTAAGTGACATTCAAGCTGTATCAAAAATTAACTTGCAGGCAGTGTGTGTAAGATAAATTTGGTTGGATAGAGTCTAGACAGAAAGTAGAGTTAGGAAGTAATTGTGTGTGTGTGGTGTGTAGAGAGAGAGAGAGCAAGTAATGAGGGCTTGCATTAGGTATCAGTGGGAATTAAAAAGAAGGAACAAATTCTGTAAGAATTGACAAGGCACCAACCATTTGATATGCAGCTGACTTAATGTAGGTGGTAAATGGGAAGAAGTATCTGAAAAGACTTCCAGGCTTCTGGCCTATGTTATTGGGAAAATGGTGGTGCAATTAACAGAAAAATAAGTCAGAAAATTTGATCTGGGGAAAGATGACAATTTTACTGTGTCAGCAAGACTTTCAAATTTAAGGTATCAGAGTTTTTGGAAGAATAGGGCAAGAGGATATTCAGAACTTAGAGCTAGAACATTGGATTTCATCTGCATAGAAAGGAAATCACGGAGAGAGATGAGATCAGCAAGGAAGATAATGCAGAAAGCAGTGAGATAAGACAGGGAAATGCTCTTGTGTATGAGAAGAAGAAAGAAGTCGAGTTAGTAAAGGACAAATAGGACTGAGTAATCCTAGAATTTGTAGACATAGTAGGAGAACTGAGGTAAGTCAGATGTCTAGAGAAGCAAGGTAAAAGGGAGGGAGGCATTTTCACCTGTGTCAAATGTTACAGTGTGGAGAGGGAGACTTCAGAATGAGGACAGAACATGTTTTTAGTTTGGTATTTAGGGGCTTCCTAATTACTTCATAGAGGTTCATTTTTAAGGCAAGCAGAAATGGTTGATTATAAGGGCTGAATGGTTTGAAATGAAACTGGAACTGTAGATGTAATTAAAGTTCTTTTAAATGTGTTATTAAAGAGAGAATGTTTTGGGGTAGAGAGGAGAAATAATGAAAGAGGGGGAGGCTGGAAGAGTAACAATTGAAGTTATGAGGGAGACAGGTTTGAGAACTCAGGTGAAAGAATTACTCTTAGCAAAGAAAAGACCCTATTAGAGAAGTGGAAAAGAGTGAGGGAGTGTTGTGAAGAATTGGAAGTTGAGGGGCTCACACTGAAAGTTCTAAATTTTATTAGAAGTACATCTCACAGTCAGCTAAGGAAAAGGAATGAAGAAAATGTCCAAAGTTACGATGAATCTAGTAGAAATTGTAGAACTAGTGACTAAAAGAATTTTTAAGTAGTAGTGAGAGACAGGAAATTTATATAACAAGTTTAATGGACATATTTTGCATGTAGTAAACAAATTAACCCATATTGAATGTGCAGTTATGATTATAGAGCAACATTTATGAAATGATTTGTTCTGAAATAGCTTTTATTATATCTGCAGTATCTTTTAAGTATATTCCCTGTATATTTTTTGTAAATATAGAATCAATCATTTGCTTTGGATTTTTTAAATGTGCATTAGAGGGTGGAATTAAGTTTCATGTTATTTAAGATTTCTTTTACATTATTATCTGTGCTGCGTATAGGTTTTCATGATACCATGATGGATTTCCCAAATGGCCTCCAGTTGATATTCACTAACTGTGTAGTTTAACTTAATTAAAAGTATTATCACACTGAGCAGGTATATATTTTTCATTTTTTAGGTACAATAAACATTTATGATTATTTAAGTAGATGGGACAAGATGATTTTACTGTTTATCAACATTTAAATCAGAAGGAAGTGAGAAAGCAAAGGGGGATCATAAAAGTCTTTTTTCTGCTGCTGTGTTAGTTATTTTTTTATGGAGAAATTAAAACTATTGGTAGAAATATGTAGTGACATTAGTGACCTATGAATTAAAATTGTCCTTGTTATAATGTTTTATGAGACTGTTCCAGGTCAGTCAAAAAAAAACTCTATTACCCTAATAGGCCTCAAGCTCAAGAAGAATAGAGTAAAATAAAAAGTTAAAAACATCCAAACATAAAAACGGCTTAGATACCAAGAGTATGTGCAGAGAACTACTTTAATATTCAGCTATATATTGCTATGACATCAGCATATATTTGAGAAAGAAAAAGGAATGGAAATGATAGAATATATAATAAGAAAGGAATTCAAACAATATTAATACACTTGTCTGACTTTTATTTTAGCCATAAAAGTCTGTTCATGTATCTAACTAAAAATATGTATACACTAGTAAATAGGAACTGGGATTCAAACACCAGAAACAAAGATTTCATCCCCTATGCTACCTCCCTAAAATGGTAACATCCAAAAACCTGCTGTACATATGTAGAAGGACTACCTCCTCTTTTGCTATAATTTTTATTTTTAATAAATTTAAATATGTCATTGAATATCATTAGAAAGAAGTATAGAAGAGCATGTAGCTGCATTTGGGCATATAAGGAAGCAACATTGATAATACTGCATGTTTTCAGAGGATTATAGGATTTGAAAACTGCCACAGAAATTTCACAGTTATTTAGTGCAATGCTCTCATTATACAGATGACTGGTGAATGTCCACCAGTCATTTAAACTTGGTTGGTTAGTTGGTTTGTTGGTTGATCAGTGGCAGAGAAAGGATTCTTGTTTTGAAAAACTGTGAGAATTACAAATTGCTTTTTAAAGTCTTAAAAAAGAATATTTTATTTTGAGCAGGCTTCAAGTAATAAAAAATTGTCGAATGTGGTTTAAAAGAACACAGACTTTAGGACCAGAGGATTTAGATTTGAATATGGATTGACCAGTATTAGTTGTCTGATTTGGGGAAAGTTACTTAACCTTTTGTGACTCAGCTTTTTCATCTGTAAAATAGAAATGATACTAAGTTCATAGGATTGTTGTGAGGATTAAATGAGGTAAGGTATGGATACTAAGAACAATGTCCGAAAATCAAAAATTGTTAATTTTATTTTTAGTAAACTATATTACTGAATCTGTTTATTATTTCATTTTTTAAATTATAAATTAAGAGTAACTTTTTTCCTTACCAGGACGGAGTTATAATGACTTAAATCAGTATCCAGTGTTTCCTTGGGTCATCACTAATTATGAATCAGAAGAACTGGATCTTACCTTGCCCACCAACTTCAGAGATTTGTCCAAGGTAATGTCTCAGTAATCATCTGAAATATAATTGTCTTGCATATAAAAATGAATTGGATTGTCTTTAGTTATTTTACATAACTTAAAAAATTTCAAATATAATTGTAACTTTAATACAATTATCCCAAATATATTTTCAAGTCGAAAAATTTAATGTGCATGATAAACACTACTTCTCTTTTGTGATGTTAGCACTGATATTCAGTGCATGGATTCATTAATTTAGTAAGCATTGCAAAATTGTGGTATTGAAAATGTCACTTTTATTTCATTTATTTATGGGACTCATTTTATAAAAAGACACATCCTCTCGTCTACTATTAAGGTATCCTCTGTCTTTCCTTGCAGAGGAAAGACAGGATAGAACTTTAATTCTTTCTCTTTACATATCAGTTTTCAAAATATTTAGTTGATTCCTAGCAGTCTCCAATGGTACCCAACTGACTATTTTAAAAGTATCTTTATAAACTCATAGATTTAAATGTATTTGATGTTTCCCTCCATTGCAGTTATTTATTGATGTTCAGTTGTTCTTTCTTTGACCACCGGTAGCTTCTTGAAGTTACTTCTAGGACATTTTGACACATGTTTGTAGTCTGATAACTTTCATGCTCTTTGATAATGATAAGGCACTCTAGTCTTGACCCATTTCTGGCCCAGATGTAGAATCATCTATCTCTTTGAGGAGCCCTGGTGGGACCTCTTTTAGTGGGAAGTAATAGCTGGAGATCACAGTTTGGTCTATTCTGCTTATTGCTACTGAATTTGTATTTATTTCTATCCCTTTTTCAGAGGAGGCTAGGAAAACATTTAGGATAAAATACATCATGAGTTCAAACTGATTCCTCCAGTTTATATTTTGAGTCATATTTCCTTTAATGTCTGAGTACAAAGTCTCTACCCTCATTTTTTAGGTAAGCAGAACATCCAGTCTTTTTCCTAAAGCTTCTTTCCTTAGTAATTTCTAAGAGCAGCTAACAAATGTTTATGTCTTCTTCATCTTTGACCTGGAGACTCTTTGTTGCTTCTTCCCTGTCTGTTGTCTGACCCAGTATTGCTCTCTTATTCCTGTAGGTCACTCATACATTCTCAAAACACCAGATTTCTTGCTGTTAGTACTAACTTTTTTCAAGGATATACACAGTACTTTTTCTTAACTCTATATCCATGTTAGGCCACAGGTAAGTATTTATATAAAGCTCTGCTGAATACCAATCATACGAGAAATGCAAGCCTCTCAGTGATTCACAGTCTCAGCCAGAGGATCATTGCAGATGCCAACATGAGAAATAAAAGTTCACTCACCATATCCAGCTTACTTCACTTAGAGCCCAGGGACTCTAAGAGTATGTTCTCTTATTTACTCGTTCCTGGAAGATGTTCAGGGGTAATTCCTTCTCTCTATCCACAGGATATGATCTTCTTCACACAGTCCAGACAATCACAGTAGTCACCAGTGATGTCAAAATGACATTTTCCTCATGACAAACAATAGTGCTTAGGATCTGGCCATTGTCTGTTTTATTACCACATCTTCTGTCTCTGACCACATCTTCTGTCTCTGTCCCCATCTTTGCTATATCAAATGATCTTGTAATATCTCATATCCACCTCTTGTGCTTTTGCTGTTGCTCTTTCCTTTATTTTGTTGTTGCTCTTCCCTTTACATAGAAATTTGAACTCCCAGGGTACTTTCCATATCCTTGTTATCACACATTTCTTAATTTCTTATAGTTTTACCTTTTTTTCTCTGTGTTCCCTATTAAGCAAAATCATTGAATACAAATATTTTGTTTTGTTAATATCTGTATCTCTGGTGCCTGGTATAGTGCTTAGAGCTAAGAAATTGTACCAGTTTCTATATCTACTTATTGAACTCTAAAAGAGTTTTAATTTGCAGAGAAAAGCCTTATTTGTGGATCACGTGTCTAATAAGGGATTAATATCAAGACTAGATAGATATTCCTAAAACTTAACAACAAATATTCAAAAATTGGTAAAGACCTTGATAGACATTTTTCCAAAGAAGATACATAAGTGACCAATGAAATGAAAATGAACATCACTAATGATTAGGGAAATGTAAATCAAAATCACAATAAGCTACCACTTCACAACCATTAGGAAGATTTTTAACAAAAACAAACCCAGAAAATAACAAGTGTTGGCAAGGATGTGGAGAATTGGAACCCTTGTTCCTGCCAGTGCAAATGTATGATACTGCAGCTTATATGTAAAACAGTATGATAATTTCTCAAAAGATTAAAAAGAATTGAGAGTAGGGATAAGAACAGATAATCTTAACACCCATGTTCACATTTGTAGCAGCATGACATACAACAGCCAAGAGATAGAAACAACCCAGATGTCCATCAACAGATAAATGAATAAAGAAAATATGGAACATACGTACAATGTAATATTATTCAGCCTTAAAAAGGAAGGAAGCTCTAACATATGCTACAACATGAACAACTTGAGGATGTATGCTAACTGAGATAAGCCAGTCACAAAAGGGCAAATACTATATGATTCCATTCACATGAGGTACTTGGAATAGAGAAATTTATAGAGACAAAAAGTAGAATACTGGTTGCCAGGGTCTGGGGTGAAGATGGGAATGAGGTGCTAGTGTTTAATATAATAGGTATAGAGTTTCAGAATTTCAAGTTCAAAAAAGTTCTGGAGATGGATAGTGGTGATGACTGTTCAACAATGTGAAAATATTTAATACTACTGAACTGTACATTTAAAATGGTAAATTTTATGTTATATATATTTTACCACCATTAATAAAAGATAAGCCAGCAAGAAAAAAAAGTTAGCAAGTTAGAAACAATTAGAGCTTGAAAAAGTGCCTGTGTGTTTCTGTTCTTGCTTCTCTGTAATCACTCTGAAAACATGCCCTAAGCATTCCCAAGTTAACTTGCTGGTGGGATGTAACTGACACATGGAAGACGGTTGAGCCGTTCTAGCTGAGGCCATCCTGAACAAGCTAGTCCTCATCTGACCTGCCAGCTGACCACAGATGTATGAAGGAATCCAACTAAGAACAATGAACTCTGACCCAGAATAGCAGAATTTCCCAATTGTCCCATTGACCATGAGGAATGATAAATGGTTGGTTTAAAAAAAAAAGAAAGAAAGAAAGAAAAGAAAAGGAAGGACTTACACATTGGTATCATATTTGTTCAAAGACCCCATAGTATTATGGAATCTATAGAGCTCTCTAGTCTAATAAATGAGGACTCTATTAGTTTGACTTGTGTAATGAGCCATGCAGTAGGTCAATAATAAAAACTGGGTGGCTCTTTAATCCTCAGGCTATTATATCCTACTCTCTCTCCATGGTTTGAATTTTGTGTTCGCTAAAGTAAAAATCTCATTTTTGCGGCGTGAATTTGTTAGAATATAAAATTTGCTTCACAAAATGAATGACACATGTATATATGAATACCTGTTCTAGAGTCCTAGAGGTGTTGCCTTCTGTTTCAGGACTGAATCCATCAGTTTGCCCTTCTATTTAAGCGCATAGCTTATTCAGATGTTTTTTGTGCTTTAGATGAGTTTTTAGAAATCTCTTTAAGATGTGATAAGTAGTAAGATGGATTGTGGGCTGGACTCATGATTCTGTCTTGATGAAATAGCACCTAATGGGTAGTAAGTGGGAGGTTATTTGGATATTTTTTGAGGCTGTATTTTCCCCTTCCTCCATCTTTGTACCTGAACGGAAGTTCTCGTAACCCTTTTATCTCTTCTTAACATCACCTTTTTTTTTTTTACCAGCTGTCTCCATTTTCTGCTTTTCATCTTTGTCATCTATTCTACTAAAAAATTTAAATGACCAGAAGGAAGCCTTCAGAACAATTTGATTACATAGGCTATATGATTTTTATTATGAGTATTCATTGAAATAATATCAGAAAAATGCTATTGTAGATTAGTTACCAGCTAAATAAAATCCTTTATTAAAATCAAATTTTATTTATATATTATGGCTGTTCCTAAGGAACTCATCAAATATTTTTGTTGGGTGGATAAAATATTATTTTAACTAATGCCTTTGTTTGGCATATGAGAAATAAGGTTATCTTATGCCCCACTAAATGATAAACAGTAATTTTGCTTTTTAATTTTGTTAATTAAAAGTAAATAAAAGGGGGGGAGCAGCAAAACAAAACTGTTGCTTTCTTTAGCCTCTATCCAAATATGTCTACATTCACTAAACAAAGACATAAGAAATGTCATTTGTGTAACTTTGTGACTTCAGTTCTAACGGCATTCATTTTTATATTTTTAGAGATTTTGTGAAATATTTGTCCCTTTGGCTGAGGAAGGAATAGTTATAAAGAGTGCTTTCAACAAGAACTGAAGGGCACACCATTGAATAGTGAACAGTTGCGTAATTAGTAGGTCTGGGAAGAAGTGGGGAGCTCTGACATTCTACTGCATATCTTACAACTAATATCTCCTTTCCTATAAAGCAATGGTAGTGTGAATGCTGCAAAAGTCATTCAGGTTCATGAGAATGTAATTCTACTAGTACTAATTGCTTTCATTAAATATTGATGAAATAAGTGAGTTTGGAATCAACTGCATTTAGTGAAATAAGCATATCAGATATTTGAAAATTGTACTTTGCACGTATAAAATAGTGTTGATTGTTTACTTTGTAAAAGTATCTCATTCCTTTTAGTATTAAGGCTTGCCAAAATCTTTACAGTGTGATTCAGTTTTCAAATATTTGTTTATACACACATTTTCAAAAATGCAACTCATATATAAATGAGCTGTATCTGTACAAATAATGATTATAATAGAATTGTATTAAAATTTGTCCCGTAGTATACATTTTGCAAACATACTGTTTGTTTAAATAAACTTGTGCAGTCTTAGAAAACATCATGTACATAGCTTAATGTAGAATACAAACAGATTTTATCTCCATTCTTAAGTGGATAATATAGCCTGACTGGCTTTAAAATGTATTGAATTATTTAT